GGCATGAGCCATCGTGCTGGGCTTATGTACTCTTATATCACCCAACATGACTCTAATATAGCCTCTTTCTCCTGCTAGACTGTAGCGCCACAAGAAAAGGGTCCGTGTGTGTGTGTCTTGTTCACTGCTATATCCCCAGTGTCCAGAGCAGTGCCTGGCATTCAGTAGGAGATCAATATATATTTTTCATTGTCAAACAACATATATTGCTTGACTAATAAGTAATTTTTTTTTTTTTTTTTTTTTTTTTGAGACGGAGTTTCGCTCTTGTTACCCAGGCTGGAGTGCAATGGCGCGATCTCGGCTCACCGCAACCTCCGCCTCCTGGGTTCAGGCAATTCTCCTGCCTCAGCCTCCTGAGTAGCTGGGATTACAGGCACGAGCCACCATGCCCAGCTAATTTTTTGTGTTTTTAGTAGAGACGGGGTTTCACCATGTTGACCAGGATGGTCTCGATCTCTCAACCTCGTGATCCACCCGCCTCGGCCTCCCAAAGTGCTGGGATTACAGGCTTGAGCCACCGCGCCCGGCCGAATAAGTAATTATTTAGAGTTCAGCACTCCTAGTTAATATAATCTTTCTATTGCTATGGACAAGGCCCATACCCTTATAGTATAGTGTTTCCATAATTACATTTCCAAATTTATCTGACAATGAACTTTTAAAAATGACAATTTACTAACAATATGTGTTCAGATTAACATATATATAGATTTTCTACTGCTGCTGTAACAAATGACCACAAACGGAGTGGCTTAAAACAATGCAAATTTATCTTACAGTTCTGGGGGTCAGAAGTCTCAAATGAGTTGGCAGGGCTGCATTCCAGGTGGAGGCTCTAGGAGAGAATCCATCTCCTTATCTTTTTCAGCTTCTGGAGGCTGCCTGCATTCCTTGGCTTATAGATAGATTCTTCTCATGTCACTCTGGCCTCTGCTCCCATTGTCACATTTCTTTCTGTGAATCTGACCCTCTTGCCTCCCTCTGTAAGCATTATGTGATTAGGTGGGGCCCAGCTAATCCACCATAATCTCTTCCTCTCAAGAGCCTTAATAGAATTACGTTTACAAAGTCCCTTCTGCCAGGTATCGTAACATATTCACAGATTGTGGGAATTAGGAGATGGACATTTTGTGAGGCTGTTATCTAGCCTACAACACATAGACAGCAAAAGATGAACCCACAGATGAATTAATAATTAATTGCCGCTGGGCGCGGTGGCTCACGCCTGTAATCCCAGCACTTTGGGAGGCCAAGGCTGGTGGATCACAAGGTCAAGAGATCGAGACCATCCTGGTCAACGTGCAACGTGGTGAAACCCCGTTTCTACTAAAAATACAAAAAATTAGCTGGGCATGGTGGTGCATGCCTGTAATCCCAGCTACTCAGGAGGCTGAGGCAGGAGAATTGCCTGAACCCAGGAGGCGGAGGTTGCGGTGAGCCGAGATCTCGCCATTGCACTCCAGCCTGGGTAACAAGAGTGAAACTCCACCTCAAAAAAAAAAAAAAAAAAAAAAAAAAAAAAAAAAAAAAAATTAATTGCCACAATACATGATAAGAGATTTCCTTTTTTTCTTTTGAGATGGAGCTTCGCTCTGTCACCCTGGCTGAAGTGCACTGACATGATCTTGCCCCACTGCAACCTCTGTTTCCTGGGTTCAAGCGATTCTCCTGCCTCAGCCTCTGAGGTAGCTTGGACTACAGGGATGCGCCACTACGCCTGGCTAATTTTTGTATTTTTAGTAGAGACGAGGTTTTGCCATGTTGGCCAGGCTGGTCTCCAGCTCCTGAGCTCAAGTGATCTGGCCACCTGGGCCTCCCAAAGTGCTGGGATTAGCGATGTGAGCCACCTCACCTGGTCAAAAACTTTATTTTTCTTTCTTTTGAGACAGAGTCTCACTCTATTGTGAAGCTGGAGTGCAGTGGCACCATCTCGGCTCCTACAACCTCCGCCTCCCAGGTCTAAGCAATTCTCCTGCCTCAGCCTCCCGAGTATCTGGGACTACGGGCACACGCCACCACGTCCAGCTAATTTTTGTATTTTTAGTAGAGACAGGATTTCACCATGTTGGCCAGGATGGTCTCGATCTCTTGACCTTGTGATCTGCCAGCCTCGGCCTCCCAAAGTGCTGGGATTACAGGCCTGAGCCACCATGCCTGGCACCAAAACCTTTCCTTCTAATGTATTATAAGCTCTATATCAGAACAACCCACAATGTAGATAAAATAAATTATTTTATTAAGTAAAAACTTTCATAAATATATATCAAAATAATAAGACTTGGTCCAGCATGGTGGCTCATGCCTGTAATCGCAGAACTTTGGGATGCCTAGATGGGCCGATCACTTCAGATCAGGAGTTTGTCACCAGCCTGGCCAACATCGTGAAGCCCCATCTCTACTAAAAATATAAAAATTAGCTGGGCATGGTGGCACATGCCTGTAGTCCCAGTTATTTGGGAGGCTGAGTCAGGAGAATCACTTGAACCCGGGAGGTGGAGGTTAAAATGAGCTGAGAGGGCACCACTGCACTCCAGCCTGGGGGACAGAGTGAGACTCTGTCTCAAAAAAAAAATAGTAATAATAAGACAAGATACCTAACATAAACTAGTACTTATTAAATAGACATACATCAACTTAATGGTTGCTGAAGCATGTGCTGATACATTTTCATGCTTTCATGAATTCTGAGATTTCCTGGTTGTATAATATTTTCAGGTAGGCCCACCATTTTTTTTTTTTTTTTTTTTTTGGTTACAGTCTCGCTCTGTCTCCAGGCTGGAGTGCAGTGGCGCAATCTTGGCTCACTGCAACCTCCGCTTCCTGGGTTCAAGTCATTCTCCTGCCTCAGCCTCCTGAGTAGCTGGGACTACAGGCATGTGCCACCATGCCCAGCTAATTTTTGTATTTTTAGTAGAGGTGGGATTCCATCACGTTGGCTAGGATGGTCTCAATCTCTTGACCTCATGATCCGCCCACCTTGACTTCGCAAAGTGCTGGGATTACAGGCATGAGCCACTGCACCCGACTAGTAATTAAGGGTAATTATGCAGTTTTTTTCTGAGACGAGGTCTCACTCTGTCACCCAGATTAGAATGCAGTGGCACGATCTTGGCTCACTGCAACCTCTGCTACCTAGGCTCAAGTGATTCTCCGGCCTTACTCTCCCAAGTAGTTGGGATTACAGACATGCACCACCATGCCTAGCTAATTTTTGCATTTTTAGTAGAGATGGGTTTTCACCACGTTGGTCAGGCTCGTATCAAACTCCTGACCTCAAATGATCTACCTGCCTCTACCTCCTAAAGTGCTGGGTTTATAAGAGTGAGCTGCCACGCCTGGCCTGGCAATTATCCAATTATACTAGCAGTTACAGAAAAGAGTATAGTGTTTTTTTTCTGGCATATATGTACATATGTATGTATATATATCTTTCTATTTTGAGACAGGGTCTTTGTCCCCCAGACTGGAATGCAGTGGCATGGACACGGCTCATTGCTTAAGTGATTCTCCCACCTCAGCCTCCCAAAGTAGCTGGGATTACAGGTGTGCGCCACCACTAGAGTAATTTGTATATATTTTTGTAGAGACCAGATTTCACAATGTTGTCCAGGCTGTTCTCAAATTCCTCAGCTCAAGTGGCTCATGTGCACAGTGGCTCATGTGTGCCATCACAACACTTTGGGAGGCCGAGGCGGGTGGATCACTTGAGGTCAGGAGTTCAAGACCAGCCTGGCCAACTTGTGAAACCCTGCCTCTACTAAAATACAAAAATTAGCCAGGCGTGGTGGCATGCACCTGTAATCCCAGCTACTCGGGAAGCTGAGGTAGGAGAATTGCTTAAACCCGGGAGGTGGAGGTTGCAGTGAGCTGAGATGGCGCCATGCACTCTTGGAGCCTGGGCGACAGAGTGAGAGACTGTCTCAAAGAAAAAAAAGAGAAAAAGTTTTAGATGAAAAATATAATTAGCATTAATTAGTTTCAATAAATACCTATTAACATCCTGCAGTATTGTTTGGGGGAAATCATAATAAAAACCTACTTGGGGAAAATCGAATCCAATATTCTTGATAGTTTAATTTAAAAAGCTGTGGTTAGATATTTTATTTTCAGTTGTCTGGCAATGACACATGAATGACTGGTACAAAATGACAGTTTTTTTTTTTTTTTTTTTTTTTTTTTTTTGAGACGGAGTTTCGCTCTTGTTACCCAGGCTGGAGTGCAATGGCGCGATCTCGGCTCACCGCAACCTCCGCCTCCTGGGCTCAGGCAATTCTCCTGCCTCAGCCTCCTGAGTAGCTGGGATTACAGGCACGTGCCACCATGCCCAGCTAATTTTTTGTGAAAATGACAGTTTTAAAATGGGCTGATGGGTAAAGCTGTCAGCTGGCTCTTTCAGGTAAGAACCTCTCCCAGTGGCTGCATCCTGATTATCAACTTTGCTCATTTAGGAATTTCAGTAATTTAATCAGTTCATCCAGGGCTGATCTGGCTCTGACACATGGGCAGAACAACAATCTTCATTAGTGTCTGCAGAGATGGAATGTGTGTGTTAGAGGATCCAAGAGGACTATGATAATTATTTTGGGGTGCAAACAGGACAGAGTGTGCTGTATATCATCTCCACCCCTCTCCACCTCTTTAGGTTTTTATCTGTTTTATTTTGGCTATACCAATGTGTCCCTCTTTTTCTCAGTGTACCAGTTTAGACTCTTCCCTTGATGGAAAGTGGCTCTTGAAAAGAGAAGAGAGACTAATGGAAGATAAGGATGCAGGCAGGTGTAATGGTGATCAGGATGCAACAGCCTAGAAAGATATTTAAGCTGAAAAAAGACCTTAGGGATCACTCTGGTCCACCTTCTACCCAAATCTATAATTCTCTTATATGTGGAAAAATGCTGTTGATATTGTTAAAATATTAATATTAATCTGAAGTACCAAATATTTACTGAGAAATGGGGGAAAGCCGCTGAAAATATGTTTTTCTACAGGGAAAAAACATGAAGAAAAAACATGATGGCATTGTTTACGAAACTAAAGAAATTCTCGATCCACCTCCCAAAGTAACAAATTGTTGCAAATCACTTCGGGTAAAATACAGTTTTCAGAAGGCATACATGACTCAACTTGTCAGCTCCCAGCCAGCTCCAGCCATGTCAAGGAACCCAGGTAAGATTTTATTTGGATTTAAATTAAGATAAAGAGTTTACTTACCATGTGTTTTTCTTGATATTAAGAACGTAAAATTGGACATTATATATAGAGAGACGGAGTCTCGCTCTGTCGCCCAGGCTGGACAGGCTGGAGTGCAGTGGCGTGATCTTGGCTTACTGCAACTTCTGCCTCCCGGGTTTAAGAGACTCCTGCCTCAGTCTCCCAAGTAGCTGGGATTGCAGGCACTCGCCACCACACCCGGCTAATTTTTTGTATTTTTAGTAGAGATGGTTTTCACCATGTTGGTCCGGCTGGTTTTGAACTCCTGACCTCAATTGATCCGCCTGCATCAGCCTCCCAAAGTGCTAGGATTACAGACATGAGCCACCATGCCCGACCCACATTAAATATATTATTTAAAAATTAACTATAAGAAGTCTTAGCTACTCGGGAGGCTGAGGCAGGAAAATCTCTTGAATCCAGGAGACAGAGGTTGCTGTGAGCTGAGGTCGTGCCACTGCACTCCAGCCTGGCAACAGAGCGAGACTCTGTCTCAAAAAAAAAAAAGACTCTGTTCATTCCAGTTCTTAGGTGGCAATAATCTAAAAGTGACTGCTTCACGGCACTACATCTCTTAGTTTCTATTAGCCCTGAATCATTGCTGTGACAACCAATTAAGGTAATCTGAAATGGGTTAAAATAGATCAAATTTATCTTTAATAAAAATTAGCCTTTTTTTTTTTTTGAGACGGAGTTTCACTTTTGTTGCCCAGGGTGGAGTGCAGTGGCCCAGTCTTGGCTCACCGAAACCTCCTGGGTTCAAGCGATTCTCCTGCTTCAGCCTCCTGAGTAGCTGGGTTTACAGGCAGGCACCACCATGCCCAGCTAATTTGTATTTTTAATAGAGACAGGGTTTCTCCATGTTGGTCAGGCTGGTCTCAAACTCCCGATCTCAGGTGATCCGCCCGCCTCGACCTCCCAAAGTTCTGGGATTATAGGCATGGGCCAGAGTGCCGAGAAAAAGTTAGTCTTTAAATTGGACCTGACAGTGCTGTGTTGTTAAGATAGGGAACACTAGATTAGATTTCTTCTTGATTTTGCCACTAGGGGAGAGAACATGTAGGAAAGATACATTTGAAATTTTGCTTTGCAAAAATGTGTGATTCCTAAATGTCCCAGAATGCTGGAAAATTAAAGTTTTATGTTTTGAAGAGCATTAAAGGACAGTGTTAGGTAAATTTATGAGGTTTTAGATTAAAAATATGCTAGATATCTGAGAGGGATTATGAACATTACTTTCAACCTAATATCTAATTTTAAAAGAATTACATGCCAGTTGAGAAAGCGGAAATTTCAAGCATCCCGATAGTCGCTTGCCACCACACCAAATATGTTTTTTTGTTGTTGTTTTGAGACAGAGTCTCACTCTGTCGCCCAGGTTGGAGTGCAGTGGCACAGTCTCACTGTGCTCACCGCAACTTCCACCTCCCAGGTTCAAGCGTTTCTCCTGCTTCAGCCTCCCGAGTAGCTGGGATTACGGGCGCCCGCCACTTTTTAGTAGAGACGGGGCGGGGTGCTGGGGGAGGTCCACCTTCTTGGCCAGCTTGGTCTCAAACTCCTGACCTCCCTCTTTGGCCTCCCTAAGTGCTGAAATTACAGGCGTGAGCCACCGCACCAGGCTTGGTATCCATTTTTTTTTTTTTTTTTAGAAAGAACTGAATTGACTGAAATTTTGAATCTTCTGTCACCTATGAACACCTTCTGGGAACTTGTATTTTTTAAAATAGAGACGTAATTCATTTAACAGAAAGTTCACCCTTTTAAAGTGCACAGCACAGTGGGTTTTGGTTCCTCACAACATTTTGCGATCATCGCCACTAACTCTGAAGATCTTATATTTTATCGTAAACCCTTTCCGATGTCTTCACACTCTACCTCCTGATCCGGATTCCCTGTGGCGCTGACCGCTGTCTTCCGTTCTGTGGGTGTTACATTTGCCTCAAACGCTTTCCTAATTACAGTTTCACTACAAGAGAAGAGGCAGGTGAAGGGACTAACGCTGCCACCCTTGGTTTATAAGAGTAACAACCCACTACCTCATGGACATGCTTGTTTTCATGCCTAGAACTCTTGTTTTACCGTCCGCGAGTGATACGTCAACTGTTTTTTTTTTTTTTTTTTGAGACGGAGTTTCGCTCTTGTTACCCAGGCTGGAGTGCAATGGCGCGATCTCGGCTCACCGCAACCTCCGCCTCCTGGGTTGGGGCAATTCTCCTGCCTCAGCCTCCTGAGTAGCTGGGATTACAGGCACGTGCCACCATGCCCAGCTAATTTTTTTGTATTTTTAGTAGAGACGAGGTTTCACTATGTTGACCAGGATGGTCTCGATCTCTCGACCTCGTGATCCACCCGCCTCGGCCTCCCAAAGTGCTGGGATTACAGGCTTGAGCCACCGCGCCCGGCTACGTCAACTCTTATCAGCGACTGGCAGTCTGCGGGCCGCCAGGGTGCTTTCGATGCCTGCCAAACAATTAGAAACCAGGGATCTCCCAAGAAAGAGCTGCCTCCCCCGTCCCCCCACTTCCGGCCTTTCCGTTCAGGCAGCCGCGCCTTTCTCCCCTTCCTCTTTACGATATCACTGAAGAAATGAGGGATGTGCGGAAGGAGGGGCGGTGTGAGGGGCACGAACTGGTTACTACAGCGTCGAGAACGCCAGAGTAACCAAGGACGAAGAGAATAACGCGGGCGTCTCATGCCGGGACTCGCCCTCTCTGACTCCCGCTCCCGCCGGTCGCCGGGGACTAGCGACGCGCTGGCCGCCGCCGGCCGCGCCGCCATCTGCGCTCCCCATTGGCCACAGCCTGTTCACGTGACCTCCATTGCCTCCCGCCGCGCGCGCGCTTTTCCCGCCACGGACAGCCGTGGGCGGGAGCCGGGAATGGCGCGGGTCGCCCGCCCATCTAAGGTGGGCGAGGTGGTTCCGAGGACCTGGCGGCGCTCTCTGGCGGTGAGCCTGAGACAATGCCTGAGTACTGTCCGGAGGAAAACCGACTGAGGAAGCAGATTGAGGAGGTCCTGCCCTCCCTCCCCTCAGCGGCTTCAGTCCGGGGCTGTGACACAGGCAGCCCGAAAATGGAAATCTCACGCCCTTCCTTGGCAGGAATGTGACTCGCTGAAGCCAAGGTTTGTCTTGTTACTTTGGGGCGCTCTGCACACGAAAATAGAACTCTTCGGGGGAAAATACATCCTTTTTGTATGAGGGATTGAAAGCCACTTTTTCTTTGAAAAGTTGACGGTCATGGGAAGTCCGGAGTAACCGTTCTGATACACATCGTTTCAGGGAAATTAGAAACTCCTGGGGAAACGAAGGTGCGTAAAAGCAGAAGGAGGCCCTGCCCACCGCGCCTGTGCGGGAATGGAGGAATCTGACGAGGGGCAGAGCTGCAGTAATTACTGATAAGAGAGGGCTAAATAAATAAATAGGTGTGCATGTGTGTGTAAGGAGTATAAATGGGAAATACAATTCTAGAGGTCAGCGGAGAGTCAGTTTAACTTATTTTTCTCTTTAAGAGCGCTTGGATGCCTTGCTTACTTTTGCCTTATTTATTTTTTGCTTCGAAGGCTCGCCAACCTTCCTCCTCCAGATATACATTTTCTTTTTTACTCGTTCATTCATTCCAGAAATACTAGGGCCTACTGTATTCCGGGCACTGTGCTAGGTACTGGGTGACAATGATAAATAAGAACAGTACCAGTTCCTTCAGGCATGGAGCATATGGTCTGGTAAAGGAAGCAGACAGGAGTTGATTGCACATTTCAATGTTAAACATAACGTGAAAAGTGCTAAGAAGAGGTCTGGATGCCATGTGGGGGATTTGACCTAGCGGGGAGATCCGAGAAGGCTTACCTCAAGATGCAGCCCTGGACTGGAGACCTGAAGGGGTTAAGAGGCATGGAGGTTGGAGACAGAGGGTGCAGCTTGTGCAAGGGAGAACTGTGAGCCTCTCCCCTTCCAATGACTGCCCACCTTACCTAATTCCACTAAGCATACATTAATCTTGCCCCTTAGTTCTCAAAAGACATTTCTTCTCTTAATTCCAAGTTCTTAGGGAGTGCCTGGTTGTAACTTACGATTGTTAAAGACAGTGTTATCCAATAGGTAAGTATGCATATCTAATATACATATCAATATACATTTAATATATAATACATATTAATATAAAGTCTAATATGCATTATCTCTGTTTTGTTTTTATTTTTCAGAGATGGAGTTTTTCCATATTGGTCAGCCTGGTCTCAAACTCCCGACCTCAGGTGATCCACCCACCTCGGCCTCCCAAAGTGCTGGGATTACAGGCGTGAGCCACTGTGCCAGGCCTTTTTTTTTTTTTTTTTTTTTTAAATCTCTGTTGTTTTGTGTAAGAAAAATACACAATGATGGCCAGGTGTGGTGGCTCAAGCCTGTAATCCCAGTACTTTGGAAGGCCGAGGCGGGTAGATCCATGAGGTTGGGAGTTTGAGACCAGCCTGACTAACATGGAGAAACTCCATCTCTTCTAAAAATAGCAATTAGCCGGGCATGGTGGCACATGCCTGTAATCCCAGCTACTTCCAGCTTTGGGAGGCTGAGGCAGGAGAATCGCTTGAACCAGGAGGCAGAGGTTGCAGTGAGCCAAGATTACGCCATTACACTCCAGCCTGGGCGACAGAAGCGAACTCTGTCTCCAAAAAAAAAAAAAAGAAAAGAAAAATATACCATGATTGTAACAAATTGTAGTATGTGATACATCCCAATAGTACTAAAAGTACTGTAGACGAAGTTGTGAGAAATCACATGATTTTGGAAAACTCGAAAAAGGCATCTTAGAGAAAGTAATTTTCAAAAATCATTGAGATAAGATTTGGTCAGATAAAGACACAATTTAGTTAGAGCATAAGGCTCTGAAAGAAGAGTAAGAAGGCTGGACCAATCAGTTGAGATACATTCCAAGGGCTTTGCAAACCAGTCTGAAGAG